TGTGCCTTACCTGCACCCACTGCTGCTCTGCCAAGTTCCTTGGCAGAAACAGCCACAGTGGCTTCAGCTGTGAGCAGGCTCATGCTGGTGGAATGCTTGGACAGAGGTGTTTAAGGGACTCAAAGGCTTCATCCTGCAGCTCAGGGAGCTGGACACAGTGAAATAAATTGTGAGCTGGGGTTGTGCAGCAAGCAAATCTGACAGCAGCATGGTGCTCAGGCCCTGCAAGCTGGGAAACAAACCAGGGTCAAGTGCTGGATGGGAGATGATCCCACCACTCTCAGGTATCATCACGTGCTGGTCTTTCTTCCCCCATGCACGACCCCACTACCAGAGTCATCCTTCCGCTGTGCTTGCAGGCTTTTTCCTCAACTCTGTACTCACCAAAGCATCTACTGGGTTGCTCATGAGGCAGAACTGGCCATGGCACATGACTGAACACAGGGGCTCAGTGTCCAGCAGGACAATCTCATTCCTGGTAGGCACCAAGAAGAACACGAACCTTGGGTAGATGTGAGTAATAATCTCCTTTTCAGAGGGGGTCTCTGGCTGGGGGATTTGCATGGATTGAGGTCTTTAGCCTCCATTTTAGGTTTGAGCTCTGAGTGTGAGAATCCTTAAATAAAGTCAAAGCAGAAAGGCAGGTGGGTATCAGGCAAGCATTTAACTATCACAACACTACAAAGGAAGTGACAGCCGCACCTCGCTCCATTCACAGCTCCAGTCATTTACACATCAAGTAGGTGAATTCGAGAGTGCAGAAATAGACCTGTAAATATATGGAGATCCTGCCTTTGCAGTAGTTCATTTTCAAAGCACATCTACTCCTTAGCATGCATTTGGGGTCACACTCCATTTTACAGCCCTGCCCCTTCCCAAAACTAACAGTTTCAGTTTGCGAGCTTTCCTCTGCAAGTGAAGCATAAAATGCAAGCAAACACCTAACTTGTACTGTTGTCACCACTTTCGTCTTGCTGCTAATTACTAATGCAAATTACGTACATATCTAAAAATGTCTTCAGTACATTCCTGCTACTTATGCTTCTTATTTTTAAAGTATATGTGGCAAATATTTCCATATTTTATCCTTCTACATTCTACTACCCACATCCAAACCTTAATGTAGGATATCCCTGTGATCAAAAGCGACGAGGCAAACTGGAACAGAGCCACTCCTCTTGTAAAAGATGAATTTATGATCTTTAGTGACAAGTCTTGTTGTACATCTTGATTTTTCATCTTAGGCAGTCCAGTGACCCCCCCCCCCCCCCATCACACGCTTTGCCATCAGCTCACTTCTGATTTCTGAAATTCAGTTTCTCATGAGAGGTAATTCTTTTAAGGTTCCTGTCCAAGTACCAGTTGGAAGAAATGGTGTCCAGCTTGGGAAAAAGCACTTGCATTCCAAGGACAAGCTTTAGTCAAAGGAGGGATACCAAAACTTTAAAGTATCTAGTGTAGGTCCAAGCTTTCCAACCAGACTTCCCTCCAGCTGGCACTGCAGGTGTCCTCCTTACCTTGGTAAGCTCTGTTATTTGCACACCAGACACCCCAAACCTTTCCCTCACCATTTCCCTTATCCTCCTCCACAGCTGACTAGCTCTTGAATGTTTCTACCCCAAAGCTCTTCTGCTGAATTTTGCTGTTTCCAGCTGCCTCACTTTTTTCTAGCTCTTACTGTTCCTTGTGCTGTAGGCTGTCATTCCAGCCACGTGCCTCTGCTCTCCACACTGGTCTGCCCTCTGCCCATCACCTGCCTGAAAACCTGAAGGCTCCATCCATTTCCACCTGCTGCCACTAACACCAGAAGGAAGTTTCTGCACACACCTGTGTCCTGGTTCTGATCTTACCCGTCCCCCTAAAATGTGTCTCTCTTCAGCTCCTGTAGTGCCTCATCCTTTCACAAGTTTCCCTTGTATTTCCTACAAAACATAAATCCCTTGATGAAGGCTTCAAGGCAACATGGCTGTGCTGCCATGCTCAAAGATGGTTGATGGTCAAATGGCCAAAAGAGCCTAACAAAATTACAGATATGCCAAGGAGCCCCAAGAAATTACCCATCTGAAAGCACTTGACTGTGAGCCTTAAGATTCTGCAGGCTCACGTTTTAATGAAGGCTAACAAAACAGGCATTCCTGAAAATGTCTGCCCATACATTAATTCCAGATGTTTTTATTGCATTTAGTCTTGTTTTCATCCCACTGCAAAAGCTGAGTAACTGTGATCTGGAAGGACTGGGAATTTGAGGAACCACAATGACCACAGAAAGCATTTCAGGCAGAGACTGGCACACCAGTTCAGCACAAACAGTTGCAGCAACCTTAAAAAGCTAACTTTTAAAAAGAAAGGCCAGCATCGGTTTAATCCCAGGGAAACCACATGATGACATTTCTCTTGCTTGGACCCATTTTTCCAAGATCAACACATAAGAATTCACATTTTCCATTTCCATTTCACAATCAGATACAAACAGGGACTTCCTTGTGATGGTTGCAAACATTTTATTATAGAGTCTTATCAACAAGTTCTCTGAAAATCAGTTTTTCAGAACTAAAATCTAATCTGGCAAGGTTCAAAAAGTAACAAGATGAACTCAGCCATGTCAAACAAAATATTACTAAGTTACTTTAAATAAATTTTATCACAACAACCTCAGGAAGAGTATGTCCTGGAGATTTAGGCAGTTTATCTTGGATTTTTATTAATATTTTCGATTCTTTTTGTTATGCTCTAGCCTCTGGTACACAGCTGTCTTCATTTTGATGTTAGAATGGGACAGATCTTTGGGTGCCTCTATGCCTGTTATTCTTGTCTTATTCTATAGTGCTGTAACAAAAACAGCATCATCAGCATTCAGTGCTCACCACAGTACATTTAAGCAACTGGTCACTGCACTGAAACAGAACTCCTGGAGAAACTGAGATTATTTCCAAGCAGTAATTGCTCACAAAAGGTCTAGCTCCCAAGTCTTTTCAGCCATTCATTTTCTGTTCAGCACCTCCTATGACATTTATTAAAATAATTTGATCAGATTATGATGCACACAGCAGGACATTCCGAATTCCATCTTGACCTTCACAGTAGCATCTCATACCTCTGGAAGACAACACAGAATCCTTTTCCTTACACATACAAACAACATTCTCAGCTTGCAGCTGCTTGTTGACAAACACTCACTAGCTTCAGTTAAATACAAGGAAACCTAAGAACATTGAGACATTTGAAAATAAGCATTAATGTATTTTTAATGTATTTTGGATAATTTACCTCAATTTACTAATAACTCTTGATTTCCAGAGCTTAATTGCACATAATTTTTTTAAAAAAGCAATATAATGTCGTAACATTAATAAAACATAACATTAAAGATTTTTTTTATTGTGCAAAACATAAGCAATAAGTCTTATTAGTACAATAAGGTGAAAAAGCAAGGTATATTTAAAACAATATTCACATCCAGTGTGCAATTTTTATCCCTACTTCCAACTTTCGATGTGGAATCTACAATTCCCATCAGTAAGTGCTATCTGAAAATTCCAATAATTTGTTTCACCTTTTATTATTTGGAGGAGACTCAAAATTTATTTTTGCATTAAATTTTTATGCACAACTAAAACAGCTGTTTAAGTTGATAAATAAAAAATAAGACACTGAAAAGGGTGAAAAATAACCAACATACTGAAGGCATCCACCTAAATGGTGGCATGACTGGTAATTTATAGCTTATATTAAAAAATGGAATTGATAATTGATAATTCTGATTTTATATTTTCAAGATTTTAGCAAATAACTCAAAATTTTGTTTTACAGTTCTGGCATCTGCTAATTGAAAAAGTAATTTAATTCAATACTTATTTTTAATTAAAATATTTATCTTGCTAGATATGAAGTGCTACCAGTCAAGGCAGTCACAACAACTGTTTGATGTTTACATAGCACCGTATAGATAAATATCTCCTTCAGTAAGAGAGACTATGTTCTGCTGGGGAACATAATCACATTATCTCCTGAATATTTTAGGTATCTTTGCCTTCCACATCATAAATATGTGCAGCGATTCCTTAATTTGATAAAAAATGCACATAATTCAAGCTTTAAGACGGTGCTATCATTAATTCAAATTCTCTTTGTATAAAAGTATCAAGAACTCTTCAGTAGTCAATTGAATATTCAAAAACAGATCAATAGTTTTATGTAAACTTGTTAAAAAACAAACCACCACATTATTTGGCTTTAAAGTGACAAAGTATTTTTCTTAATATAATTTACTAGGCATGTGAAGTAGTAACATCGAACTATAATTCAAAAAGTAGCAGAGACTGACTATCTCTGATATTGAAATACTCAATTAAAATATATAAAGAATCTCCAAAACATGTAATTATAATTCATTACAGTGGTATTGTTCATTCCAATAATAATCCTTCCTATAAGGAGGCTGAATGTTAAATAAAATACATTAAGCTGTGGTAGTTCCCAATTAGAGAACATCAATATTCTGCCTCTCCTTCAGCTCAAATTCACTCAAATATGGACTAGGCTTTCTACTGAAAGAAAATGGGAAATAGGCTCACTATCAGGTGGATATCTCCTAGCCCTAATCAAAATCTTATCAGCTTACCCACAACTGTTAGATTTAGACTAGTAACAAATCTTGCAGTAAAGTGTTAAAAATAGGTGGAGTAACTAACAAGCCATCTTCTGTATTTTAAATCACAGAAATCTGCACATCAAAATATTTATGGAAGCATGCTGGTGACATCATCGACTCTTACAAACCGAGTCTTCCGTAAAAGTTGCACAGATGGAAAAGGATGCCTTGAGATAAATGGAAATAAAATCCAACAGAAGATGGATTTCCCAATATTGAGCCTCAAATTCTTATAAACTAACAAACATTTATTTCAGTGACAGACATTGCTCATTATTTTGGCCCCATCCCTTTCCCAAAATCAGTTTCATAAGCTGTTACCACTTCAATTAAAAAACAAACCGTCTTAAAATATTGTATATGGAGTTCTGGGTTCCAAAAATAAAACACATATGCAGTTTCATATTCTTGCTATGAAACATCAGCTAAAAAGTACGAGCATTCATAAAGAAACCAAATTGCATTTGGTACGTTGTATCTCTATTGATACCGTTCTCCATGTTGGAGAATTCAGCATTTTTAGAGCTCAACATGTGCAAAGTTCAATTAAATTTTGAAGAAAATTCCAGTTTCAAAAGTTACATGTAATTTTGTATCTGACAGGACAATTAAAAAAAAAAGCTGTACAAAGTTAGCTTCAAATCTCTTCATTACACCCAAAAATAGGCACTCAGTGGTTTAAGTGTGCAAATGGCTTCTTAGAAGAAACAGTGTGCAAGCAGAGCCTGTTCCATTAGCTCTGCATTCTTTAGTGATTTCCTAGAGAGTATTGCCATTAAATGCTATCTACGGTATGACTTTCTAAAGAACAGAGGACACTCAGTCCACAGAGTCACAGATGTCTTTCACTTTCTCGTTGAAGTCTTCAGGTTGATCGGCGTACACGTAATGACCCGCACCGAGGATAGCCTGGAGGATAAAGGTGAAGAAGCATGTCAGTATCACCAATATGTAATAAACAAATAAATACTGGGACAGGTGAAGAACCTGGCTTTTACACACTACCTAAGAGTTGGCATCATGCAACCTAAAAAATGCTCTGAACATAAGGAATACCAAAATATTCTTTCCTTGTAAAGAAACTTTCCTACACAGGAAAAGAAAGTAAAACCACTGCTTTTTCAACTGCTCACCTTGTTGAAAAAAAAAAACCCCACCACTGAGGCATGAACAAGTCACTGCAAAACAAATTTAGTAGCCTTGCATATCAAATTTCTGATGCATCTTGAGTCCCTTCACTCTCCACTCAAATAGCCTACTTCTAGAATTTGTTATTATCTGTAAAAATGCTATGAAGTAAACTGTCACCACTGTGTACAGCAAAGATACTTGACCTGCTCTCTATTTTACAGTCAGTCCAGGACTAATCTTTAAAAAAAAACCCCTATTTTCCCCTCCTCTCCTTAAAACACCCTCTCTTAAATCTCTAACTAAATGTCCTACAAGTATAGCTATGTTACGGCGTTAAAAACTCCCAGAAACTCAAAGTAAAAATTAGTTAGGAATAAATGCGTGTAACAAAACCACAGAATTTCTCTGCATTTTACCAAGCATGGCACTGCCAAATCCACATCTCTGTCTCATTAGAGCCCTTGCCCTCCTATGGGTTTTTGAGCATGCCTGCAATTTTACCACTCCAATTTACCTTTTAGAATCTGTATGTGGCTTGGCAAAATTTTAGCCTGGAATATAATACCATTTTCCACAGTTTCTTCTAAAAGTCCCTGACCAGAGTGGAAAAAATCTCTCTGAATGGTATAAGCTTATCCCAGCAATATATTGTACAATTTTAAACTTTGACTTTCTGTTACAACTCCCTCTCTCTGGTTAAGCAGGTAAGTGACAATTTCAGTCTGGATGTCAACATTTATGAAATGTATCTGTGCTCTTTAACACACTTAAAACAGTTGGATAACAATGCCTTTTCTCTGAGTTTACAGCTCTAAATCCAGCTGTATCAAGTTATAAAATTTTATTTGGGTGACTTGTTATAGTATACAATCAACATTACATACTGTACACTTCTGTCCAGATAGTTCCAGACATCAGTAACATCACAGCTGGTGTGCTCAAACATTTTATCACCTCACAGCATTTTAACATGTATGCATATTCAATTATCACAGCTGACTGATGTGAAGAATACTTTTGAATTAGTTTGTCTTTATAGAAATCAATGACAAAAAATGCAGTGTGCACATTCACATCAAGCTGTAAGTATGCATATTTTAAATGACAATATCATACCCCTAAACAAAAACATCTTAGGTAGTAAGACAACACTAACTGTTTTTTTAATGACTTAAAGAAAGATGCTCACAAGATCCTAAGCAGCAGGTACAAACTGCTCTCTTGTCAAAGGAACAAATGTATTATATAGACAGATGAAGAGAGTTTATGAGAGCTTATCCACTATCTTATATATTCATGGAAATAGTAGGACTGGTGTGGTTTGAAAAACAGTGACCACAATACCTACTTCTATTAGCATGTTGTAGAACAAAATGAAGAATCACCTTGGCTTCTAGTGTTACAGCAAGTTTTGTTCTTAGCCTGGGGACTCAACACTTTTGTCTAGGTTTTCTCTGATGTAACGTTTGTTTTCTCTCTCTCTGTTACAGAAAACAGAACTTATTACCCCAGGCTCTAAATCAAAAGTGACACCATTTCCACAGCTGGTATGAAAGAACAGAGTAATAGAATAGTTTGGGTTGGAAAGGACCTTAAAGCTCATCTAGTTCCGACCCCATGGGCAGGGACACCTCCACACAGACCAGGTTGCTCAGGGCCCCATCCAACCTGGCCACATAGTTATGACTTAAAGAAATCCACACAAAAAACAAACAACTGCTTTAAAAGTCAAACTTACTATTGTCTTCACGTAGGAATTTGGTCTCAGAGACTGGATAGTGCTGCCAGAATTGCCATCTATACATGAACGTGCTCCATAGACCACTGTGATAGGAATGTCTTGATCCATTTGTGAAATCCGTTGCAGCATTGGCCTTTTTGCCCATCCATAAGGAATCGTCATGTTCTTGAAAGCTGTTTCACCACTTCAAGGCATTCAAAAGGGTAAAAGCAATTTCAATCGCCATTGGACCTGCTTTTCATCTAAAATGGAGTATCTGTGCCTTTTGGTAGCACACAGTATATGAGGTTGGGATTTTTTACAATTAAGAAAAGTAAGTTTAAAAGGTTTACATTTAATTTCCAACAGAAAGAGCCCATGTTTTCGCATGACTGAGTGGCAGCACTTAAAAGAATGAAAAGTCTTATTTTTCAAGTTTCTAAAGAAATTCTTTACACATTAAAATTCTCCAAAAATTATTTAATTAAATTAAATACACAAATTCTCACAGAATTAACACAAATTGAGAATAAATATAGAATTAGGATACTTTTTACATTTATCAGTATCTGGAATTCAGAAAAAGTGTAATGGTACTTTTTTCTTTAATATAATAAATGCCACAATTAAAAAAAAAAAAATAGCATGCACACTGCTGCCATGGCCATTGGAGGGAGTAGCAGGCACTCAGTAAATGAACAACAGACTACAATACATACACTGGGAAATTCATACTCACCTGGGTGACTGTACATTGCAGTGATAGATATATTCAGCCACAGTGTTATCATCAAACATTGATGAATATTTTCGCTTGAAATCTGGTCTTAAACGTTGAACAAGGCTTAATCCTGTTAAAACAGGAAACACTGTTAGAGGGGGAATATGTATAAATTATCAGATTGCCTAATGCTTTTCATTACAGCCCTGAGAACACATCCCCTTGAAACTCGTGGCTTCTAAACCTGCATTTGGTTTTACCACTTGCATGTCTTAGGGAAACATGATGGAATTACACTTAATAGGAATGAAATATAAATACTACGAAGAATTTCATGCTGCTCCCCCCACCAAATACATATGGGGAATGTTTGAGTAGGGGCACTGCAACAATAGAAGAAACCTACAATGGGGACCAACAAAAGGGCTAGGCAGTGTCTTTCTGTCACCAGTTTAGTCTCACATGATACCAACACATTCTCCTTGCTCTGGCAGCACTGGGTAGGTTAAATGCACTACACCTTTCAGGACTAGAAGGCACTGTTGAAAAAGCTGGGGTGTTTTCTTCCTTAAGTCTGTCTCCTGCTCTTACAGAACACTCTGTTTCTGAAGCTAGTTCATCTAACTAGTGTGTTGTTGAAAGAACAGAAGCCTATGATGAAAAACAGGTGCAGAAATCTTAATATAAAGCACAGCTACTGGTATAAATGAAGAGACTTAATGCTGAAAACCATTGTCCTTATGGTCTCCTAACAAGCCAGTAGAGAAGTGGGTCTCTTCAGGGGCCAGTTCAGGCCTCCTAAACTTGAGTCTTTTCTGAATAATTTCTCTAAGGAAGAAGCCTCTTCTACATTGACTCGATGGATCTTTGGGACAAGAGCCTCACTACAAGGCTAATCTTAGTTTAAGAGTATTAGTCATCCCTAACGTCTGATGTAAACTTTTCCATTTGAAGTCATTACCCCTGTCCCATCACTACAGACCCTTGTAAGAAGTTGCTCTCCAGCTCTCTTGTAGGCCCCCAGTAGGTACTGGAAAGCTCCCACATGGTGTCCCCAAAGCCTTCTCTTATGAATCCCAACTCTTTCAGCTTATCTTCAAAGGAGAGGTGCTCCAGCCTTTTTATCATCTTTATGTCCCTCCTCTTGACTATCTCCAAGGGGAATGTCTCCAACATTCTTATACTGGAGCCCCAGAGTTGGATGCAGTATTCCACATGGGGTCTCATGAGAGCAGAGTAGAAGAGGGGGAGAATCGCCTCCCTCAATCTGCTGGCCACGCTGCTTTTGATGCAGCCCAGGATGTAGCTGGCTTTCTGGGCTGCAAGTACACATTGCTGGATCACTTTGGGCTTCTCATCAACCAACACCCCAGGTCTTTCTCCTCAGGGTTGCTCTCTGTCTATTCTCTGTTCAAAGGTGGTCAGGATTGCCCAGACCCGGGTTCAGAACCTTTCACACAGCCTTGTTGAACTTCACAAGGTTGCCATGAACCCACGTCTCAAGGGGCCCTCTGGCTGGCATCTCTCCCCTACAGCTTGGTGTCCACACAGCTTGCTGCCATCAGCAGACTTGCTGAGGGCACACTCAATCCCACTGTTCACTCTTCCTGACAGAGGTGCATAACAACTGATCCCAACAGTGATCTGTGAGGAACCATACTCATCACTGTCTCCATGTGGACACTGAGCTGACTGAATGTGACTATTTGTGGTTATGTTTCCCCTTTCCCAGACATTAGGAACTTCATACTGCTGTTAATCTATGCAATTATGATGATGTCACATCTTCCCACCCAGTCCTGGGCAAAGGCCTGGTATTACTTATGCAGACCTTGTCACAGTGATCTATGTTTTCGTAACCTGGAGATTATTGCAACATGCCCTTACGCATGCTTTAAACAGATTTAGAAAATGAATACAGTGCAAGAGAAAACAATTCCCTTATGAAACAGTGATTTAACTTCCAAAGCAATGAAGATTTTGTAAAAATCTGGCAATTGGCTTTGCTCTATTTTCCCTACATAGAGTACAATTGCTGGACTTCTTTTTCTGTGTGTTTGGGTTTTTTGAATACAAGTGAACATAGCTGGCTTGGAATAAGAGTACTTGGAAAAAATAAACTAATTCTGTGCCTTGTCCTCCTGTCAGCATAGAGGCTATGCCACAAAGTGTTACCAAATTTTAGAATTCACTTTCTGTTTTGGTAAGAAGTGCTTTGTCTGTGGGTCCAATTCCAAAACATTTTTCCCCTGGGAATTTACAGGGGAGAATGAAACAAGGATTCAAGGCAACTTGGAAAAATTTTGGAATTAAATCAGACTGTAAATCATTGTTGTAATATTTATTAAAGAAATTCTGAATTGTCTGGCTGATGTTTTCCACAGTGTCTATGAAAATACTGTAAGAAATTTTAACACTGAAGACACTGATTATTTCCACAAAAAGGGTGTGGTCACACTGATATCTCTGTTGTGAGGAATTTTCAGGCATCCAGCTCTAGGAATGGAATTCAGAAATCCAAGCTAAGCACCAAAGCCCCACCAAACTGTGAAACTCCTGGGTGAGTGTTCCAGTTAAGTGAAGGAAAACATGCAAATCAACTACCTGGAAACCACTCAAAGAAAAACATATCTGGATTCTGTCTCTCTTCCAGTTTCAAGTATTTGTCCATGGGACTGATTAAATATCCATGTGATACTATGGTGATATCCAATGAACTTGCTCACATTTGAACTTATGCCTTTGAATAAGAGCAATTGGCTTTAGAGTGAAGTTCAAACAACCAGGTCTGCCCATCAGCTTAAACATGTCTGCATGTGGAAGGAAACTGGGGATCAGTTCAGTGCCTTCATCAGGTTAGGTCTGATGTCTACTTGCAGCACGGTGTTTAGACCTACCCTTCTCTAAGAACTATGTTTCACCTGTCAAGAACTTAATTTGGTGATGGAAAACTTTTTTACCAGTGCAGTGAGAAACAGATGAAGAATTTTTTACATGGCAACCTGTAAGCAAGACTAGGTGTGGGGACACCTTGCCAGGACAGAGTCTGCTTCTGCAGCACAGTTTGACTTCACTTATTGCTAAGGAAGACAATTTCAGCTTTGAATTTTCCCATGTGGATCGATTTATGCATGTTCTTGTTATTGGATAGAACACATTAAAACAGTGCATATCACTCAAATTTAATTTAATATTTTCCAGGTTGTTTTGTTAACCAAATTAGCATTTTACTTAAAAAAAAAAATCTGTTTGTACAAAACATGTTGCTTGTCTGAAAAATGAAATTTGTCACACTATTGAAAAGAAACAAACAAACCAGCATATGCAGCATATTGAAATATATATTCTATAGAAATAGATTTAGGAAACAGATGTGGTTTAAATGTAAACAATGTCTAGAAATCTCACAAGTTTATCTTCAGACTGAATACCAAAAATTATGAAGAGGTTAGTTAATTATATTTGTGAGGGATCTTAAGGATATATTTTTCCAAGACTCTACAGAAGACAATTCAGTAGCACAGAGAGTAACAGACAGATAACCTCTTTCTCCTCTAAAAGGAATAGCTATAATGACTTTTAGATTTTATTACACTCTTCTCCCCATTCCCCAGATTAACTAAAACCAGTATTTTTGGTCAGCACTACCTAGCCCTAGTATTAGGGTATAGACAGTTTATCTACCATTCCATCAGTGCTGTTGAAGAAATGGAAATATGAACTGCCACCATAATGCAGAACACCAATGAGGCCCACAAGATTTCCTAGAGTAGTAAGAAAATGGCTAATGGAAAGAACCCAGTTTCAACTTCTTTAAACTCAGGCCAATTCTTGCATTTATGACAGACTGCCTTCTAATGTTAAGGGAATTTGGAAACCCCATTTGCTCATCAAACTGGAATTAGAAGTTTGATGAGCAAATTAGAACTGAAATGGACTGTGACCAGAGGCAACCAGAAAAAACCCTTTCATATTCACACCTCTTTGTCAGGGTTCCCCAACAGACACCTGCATAATCCAACTCACCATAACTGAAGCCTGTACAGATAATACAGAGTAGCTTGCTGTAGACTATTGTACTAGTAACTGTAATAGCAAGAGTTTGCCTTCTTTCCTAAAGAGTTCAAACTTTCTTCAACCTCTCCCACTTCCTCCTCCAACTCTTTCCTTCGTGGCTGATACAGACTTCCAAAAAACCTTATCATAATGTGTTGTCTGCTCCATGTTTATGCTTAACCAAAATAGAAATGGTATTTAAGAGTAGCTAAAACTCACCAAAGGGTCCTGCTATTCTTAGCCCAGCTAATGGATTAAATGGACTCAATATAGCTCCTAGTGCTTTGATCCAGATTGGAATTGGTCTTTCGTGCTCAGCATTGTCAGGCCTCTCTGGAAAACCCCATGGCTCCACTAAGATAAGATGCTTGACCCTGTTGGCAAAAAAGGTTCATGGGTTTAAAGTACAGTAGCTTTTCTTTAACTGAGCATGATGAAAATGTGCTCTCTCTTTTACAGAGACATACATACAGCCTACTTCAGTCCTTCTATCACAGAGGCTTATTACCTAGTTTCTGATTCATCAACCATTTTGATTTCAGTTACTAATTAGAGAGTGAATTGCACCTAATCATATGTATGAACCAGAAACATGGAAGCATGTGTCACAAAGAGAAACTCAGTATATTACAGATACTCACCGTCACAAACATTTGAGAGAAAGGATAGTCTTGTTTCTATCTTTAAAAATAGCCTAATCTAAATGATCAGTCAATATTATTTGCAGGAGCAGTTTAATTTGACAGGAAAGAGGATAATTGCATCTGTTTCATTAAAGTGAAGTTTCTAGAAGTCTAAGATCTCTGTTCAAAGAAGAGACACAATTTAACTGAAAAATCATCAAAGTAAAATTTCTTTTTCAGTAAAATTACTGAAAAAGGCAGTAGAACTAGCAGTAGTCTTCCAAATTCATTGATTTTAGATCATGAAAGAAAACATCAGAGAAGCAATTTGTAAAATTATTACTCAAAGGAATATCAGTACAGAAAGCATTGTAGAAGTCTCCAGCACATGCAACTATTGATCACTTCATGCTGTGGGTCCCCCTCAAGCAAAATTCTAATTCATCCTGGTAGATTAGAATTGTCTCTTTCCCTTTAATTGTCCCTTTTCTATTTAATCCCATAATAACACCTATTCTTACATGTCCTAGATGGTGGTGATTTCTGGGAAAAAGTGACTCTTAACTATAGTTTTCAATTTTAAGATGATTTTCCATTTCAGCTTCCTCATTATCATTCTCTACAACTACCTGCCAGGAGGTTGTAGCAACATGGGGGTTGGTCTCTTGTCCCAAGTAGCAAGCAATAGGACATGAGGAAACAGCCTCAAGGAGGTTTAGATTGGATATTAGGAAAAATTTCTTCACTGAAAGGGCTGTCAAGCATTGAACAGGCTGTCTTGTTCTATCTGGTCTAGTGGGATGTGTCCCTGCCCAGGGCAGGGGGTTGGAACCAGTTAATCCTTTATGTCCCTTCTCACCTATAACATTTTATGATGCTATGCCCAAGGAAGTGATTGAGTACCCATCTTTGGAGGTATTTCGATGTATGAATGCAGTGCTTAAGGACATGGGTTAGTGGTGCACTTGGAAGTGCTGGGTGAACAGTTGGACTAGATCCTAAAAGTCTTATCTAACCTAAATCCGTCTATGGTTTTAATATTTTTATCTTATTTTTATCTTTATCTTTTTACCTTTTTATCTTTACTTTTTCCTTCATTTCTTCCTTCCCTGTTAAAGCCATGAGATTGTATATAAACACAGAAGAGTTCATAGTGCCTAAAACGATGCCAGAAGTCATCCCAAAAGTTATTTCTGAGTTATGATCAGTTGGGAAACCAAAACCCTGTGCTTGGAATGAAGGGCTGGAAAGGATTAACATCAGAAAGACATTTCTTGGTTGTCAGCTCAACTATGAGCATACTTGCACCCTGCAGCAAACAGCAACAGTAAGAGAGGACAGGGTAGAATCTAACTGTACAAACCAAGCAGGAGAGATCAGAGGCACAGCAAAACAAGCCAGGAGGAGCCATTCAGGACAGCCACACACACCGTGCACAAACTATGGCATGAAGTATAACATGGCAAACAAATTAATACAAATAAAGTAACCTTTGCTTCATGCTTCCTTTCTTAACACTTTCCTTCCTGTTTGGCATTTCTGCTTTTGGTAAACAAGCCTAAAACCCAGAATAATGTGAAGTTGACCATGAGAATCACTTCCTAGGTAAATGTCCAGAAATTGCACTATTTGAAAATCATGGTCCACTTCAAGTTGGCAATATGCTAAATGGGAATCTTTTTGGATTAGTAGCCTCGGATTTTCCATGGACTCTGGTACAGTATAGCAAATTAACGGATCATCTATGCTTGGAGAAACAGATGTACTTTCCTAACAATATGTATCCAGAATCCCTTAAGCTTCTAATGAATTGTTAGATAACCTGGCTGAAAGCTGTGCTATATTTATCACTTGATTCAATGCTCTTCTAGGACCCTAACAGTCAATTTGTTATTTTGGTGGTCTTAGTTTAATTTCAGAGAAATATTAGTAATGTGAGAGCACAAACTGAAACATCTCTAAATTAATTAACCCAAACTTAAGCACAGTGAGGCATAAAAATAAAGCATCTCTTTTCATGTAAATCAGCAGTGGGCAAAACCAATATCCCATCCCATAGGGATAGTACAGTGCCATTTATAGATCCTTTGGAAAAAGAGGTAAGGAAATGATAAGTGATCCCTACAAAAAGCTAACTACAGTTAGCCAGAAGTTGGTTTATAACTAAAAGGCTAACAGGTTTATATCTTCATTGCAATTCTGGATTTAGAAACACATCTACTTTCACACATCATTTCCAGCCACTTGTGCTAATTGTTGTCCATTTAGAAAGAAAAAGGCAAAGTGTTTTAGGGAAAAACGATGCATGAAATTACTTCAGATATATCCAAGTGAGAAACAAAGAAACAGCAAAACTTGACATGAATAGAAAAGAGTAAGATATGTTTAGTAAAATATAGAATTTGCTATATGATGTGGAGAGTTAAGCTTACATTCAGTTTCTCATAGGAAACCACTAAGTGTATCCCAACAAAAGCATTGCCATTTTTTGATACAGAATTGCCTCGGTTGGTGTAAGATCCTAGCTCAGCAGGGGATATATAACCGGACTTATAACCAGATATATATAAAAAATTATTACTTTAGGGGGAAAAAATGTATTAACTGTTGGACAAAACATGGTGCAGAAAATGCCAATGAAATACAATTAGAGAACTACTGCAGATGGGTTGTCTTACAAAGAAATATGAAGTGGCATACAGACAATTTAAATGAAAGAGTCACTAAAATAATTTTTACATCATTCTGCTGGCACCAGGCTGACTGCTAGGATAGAGGCATAAATTACTAAGGGGAATTAGAAGTTTCAATGTTATCCATAAGAGTGGGAATTTTGGCAGAAACAGGCCTATTTTCCCTTCGCAAAAACCATATTTGAGACAAAACATTCACCCATAAATATATTCACTGCTATTTCACCTTATAAAATGGCAAGGGGGTACTGAACTTAAGAGGTACAGAAAAGCATACAGAAAATCATGTTTACCATATCGACCTATTTCCTTCACCAGGAAACAAACCACACAATTAATACTTTGGTCTTAGAATTCTGTATAATTTCTTAAAATCATCACAGTCATCTACATAAATATTATCTATAAAGAGCCTGAAAAAGAAAATCTATATTAAAATCAATAGTCAAATACAGAGAAGGAATCCCTTTATTCCTTTAGTTTCACATACCTTGATGGATATTTTAAGGAGTATGCAGCAGCCAGGAATCCGCCTAGGTTGTGTCCAAGCAAAATCATTTTTTCTAGCCCCACCTCCTTTCTCCATTCTTCTATGGATTCCACAAACTGATTTTCTGCTTCCCGAGCGTCAGTGTCAAAGTGTGGTCTACTGCTACGTCCAAATCCCAAGAGGTCGAAAGCATGAACGGTCCTGTTCTCACAGAGATCTTCAAAGTTGAGAGCCCACAGTCCAACACCTCCTCCAAACCCATGCAGGAGAACAAGGGGAGTTTTATTTGAAAGGTCTGGAGAGAATGTCAATGTCCATATTTTATTTCCATTAGATATATACACGTATCGTTTATTGTATATGCTTGCAATACCTGGAGAAAAAAGGGGAAAAAATTGTGTTGCTAGACACACCTGACAAAATATAAAGTATACTCTACTGAAACCACTGTTTTAAATAGGAGCTCCTTTCAAAGGAGATAGCTTCTAATCAAATATCTACATAAGTGATAAATGAAAATGTAATTTTAAACCTGTTTATTTCATCACAGTGTAAAATACATACTGAAAAACTTCTCCATTATACTTAATTTATAAAAAATCTAGTTATATCTATGAAACTTATTAAAAACCAAAGACTCACACTTTAGCATTTTCTCCTCAGCCTCTTTAAGGTGTAGCAGTGATGTGGGACACCAGGCAGGAAGCCAGCTGAATAACCATCCAAACCTACATCAGCAATACAGAATAAAAACACCTTGAGCAGCACGGTAATTTTTGGCACTGATGCTTTGAAGATATTTCTTTTGCTGCTCTTCATAAGAGAGCCCCGTTAAGCACACAGTCTAAAGGACACTATTTTTGCACTGGGAGGGAATTCATTTTTTCCTGACTTTTTATAAAGTGGCAACACAAACAGGGGCATTCTTCAAAGGGTGAGCAGTTTTTCCACTGTGTCCTCCTATCAGAGCATACTGATCTGGAGACATGAGCCCTCACATCAACCCAACAAGCTTGGCAGGATATGTAACAATCACTGGAGTTTCCAGCCTCCTCTCAAGTTCCTTTGGAAGTCTGCCTGCATAACCTTGCATGAACCTATTATTTCCAAAAAAGCAATAAGCTCTGACTTCACGGGCCTAACCTGATTATTACTCTAAATTTAAAAAGTGAAAAATAAGCAGGTTTATCCTACCAAGCAAAAACCTAGGACCTTAATTATGAACTTAGAAACAAAGTTCCAGAGGAAAAAAACCAACAACTCCCTCTGCAGAAGCTGCTTTTCCAGCTGTCAGTTACTATCTTCGTACTGCCAGCTTGACCATGACAGCACGGGGAATGACTCAGCTGGCAGCACTGCCTAGCCCAGATACAGCAATTTGGTACAGCTCTTCCTGGGTGCTAATTTACCCCGTTTTAAAGACAGAATCTTATTTTTCCATCTCTCACCTGGTTTTGAAGTGGCTCATACTACCAGTGCAAAGCTGCCACTGCAGGACCATTCCTCGCAGGGAAGAGGATATCAGTCACCAAATCAACTTCCTCAAGCACTCTTTTTCTACACTGAACTGCTCTCCAGTTAGTTACATACAGAATTTTCAGGACTGAACACCGAGAGTATTAGTTACACAACAACTAATGCAGAAAGACTATTAGGTTACTAATGTCCAGTTTTTCAGTGTGCACAACTCATCAGTAATAAATTAAAGATCAGGCCCCACAAGTTCTTTACCCAAAGGATCTTTTCCACACATTCTAACGGGCTGATCTACTACAGCTGCATAGCTCCTTAAGTTTATGATAAGACACAGATGGTTTTCTGGGAATGCACAATGCAACGGCAAGCAGCATTTTTCAGATTCACAGAAACCTGTGAGAGGACATTTAAGAAAAAAAGCCCCAAACCATATCTGAACAGAACAGATTAATCATCCAATCACTCAGGCGCACTGCTATTCAGTATTATTTACTCCTCTATATCTGGCTCTTCTGTAAATAACCTTCCTGACCCACCAGATCACTGGAATTGTAAGTTATAAGGAGGGATAACATTCCAATGGGAATTGTTATCATAGTTTTAATTGAGGAGCTGGCAATAGGCGGTTGTATGTCCTTCCATGACGTGTGCTCATGCAATCTAAGAAAAGAAGGAACTTAGCACCTTATAGGAAAATGGGCATCCAAATATTCTGCTTCCACATTATGCATAGTTATGCATTTATTTAAAAGTAAAATCTTTAAAAAGTTAAAGCTGGGACAAGCCAAAAGTAATTTCACCCGCAAGTAACCATGAAATCTGAGTTTAACAACAACGCTAATTGTGTCCAGTGCTATGAATTACTCTGGTAAATTATTAAACAACAGTAAGGTCACCACTCTTCTGAGTCAAGTTTTCTGCTAGCTACATGTTCAACTAGGCATTTTCATTCTTAACTCTTGGGTCAGAAACAAAACTAGTCACTATTTCCACTAAGCTGAAACTCTATGTACTGTTTCTTCTCAGAAAAACCACTAAATAAGCGAAGAAAATACTTTAAAGAACTTATTTATTTATTCACAGAAATGTAAAGCTGCAACATGCCAACAAGAAAACAGTGCAGGGATATGGCCACAATGAAACAGAAGTGACATCTACAGATCATAGTCCCAAAATTTTATTTCCTAGCCCTAGTGAGGCACCTGGATACTATGGAAAATTATTTAGGAAAATGTATCAGAATGGTAAAGTTGCTCACTCCTTCTTTTGTTACCTACAAGATCTGTTTACAAATACTTAGATTTTAATTCAGAAGAGGCATTGCATACATGTATAGCTTGACAAATACAGTTAGCAAGCTGAAGCTTTTAAAATTAAAACTATGTTTGCAATTCTGTCCTGTTGTACTTGCTGAACTAAAAGAGTAAGCGGTGAAGGCTTTCAGGCAAAAAAGTGAGCATTTTTTAGAAATACTATTTTAGAAAGAAAATATTTAGTTACCTATAGTCAAGGCTTAATCCTTTGTTTGCCTCCTTCCAGAAAAGATTTACCACATTGCTAGATGTTTTCCACACATGGAGAACAAACATTTATTTAATCTATTTGAATATTTTTTCTGATAACTTTCTAAGGCTATGGTTGTATCATTTCTTTTGTACATCTGTCTGTGCTCAATGTGTCTTCTAAATGCATACAGGAATGTCCATTGCTTACATGGTCTATCATTTTTATTTCTGTGATATAAAGCTGTGAGTGCTACATAATGTCAAAAATGAAGCAATGGACCTTTCAAAACAGTGTGCACACCAGCAATGGAGATGAGTTATGAAAGAAAACAAAAGATTCCAGCAGTAGTTCCACATTTTAACTGAGCTACCCACTGCCAGAAGAGGCAGACCCCACACCACTCTCATCACCCATCACTTCCCTTACACTCTGTTCCCACCTATCTTTTTGTAAAAAGTCAAGAGCAGAATATTGTATTTTGAGAAATTAGGAGGTCCACTGGCCTCAGTTGCTTGCTCTTTCAGAAAGTGGGAAATAAATCTGGCAACTCACAGCCCAAATTTTTGTAATTTTTTACCAAATGCACTTACAGGTGTTACACATCAAATACCAAGGCATATAACCAGTGGAATTTAACCTGTGTATTTGTGGCCATGTAGTAACATAAAGCACTGTGCACATCCATGCTAAAATAATCAATAACCAGCAGTAGGGCAAAGCTTGCATAGGGTGATTCCTTGCATCTTCAATTTGGGTTTAGTTACATTCTTCACATCCATCTGAAAACATCTGGAATAACAGAGGCTGGAAAAATCAGAGGCTAGCAGGTGGGGTGGGGGGGGGGGGGCTGCTGGCCTGCCAGGCATTCAAAGAAGTCACTCTCTGGCTGACAGACCTCCACACACACTTCCACACTTCTTCTAACACATCTAGGGAAGGAGACCAGAAGGTAAGGGAAAGCCCTGGAAACACCCACTGCATGACCTTAGTGAAAGTCAAGGTGATTAGTGTCAGACTAGGAGATTAGTGGGGACCATCAGTAGCCTATGTTGATGATTAAATACCCTAATAAATAATGCAAACGAAAAGGACACATGCACAAACATCTGACTAAGTGGAGCTGCAACCACGTGTGCAGAGACCAAGCCACCAGGCAGGATCTAACACACTGGTTGGTTGGAGCAAGTGCTCGGAGACCCTGCTTGCAAGCATAAGAAAGGATAAAAATAAATAATTATTACTATATTTTGACACCTAATGAGTATAGAGACATTGTGTTAAACGTAGCTCAGGATAATACTGCTTGTCCTCAGCTGCTTGAATGTTAATTCGAATCAAGATCTTACTGTCAGCACTGCTTGAATTGCCTGAGGGTAACTTTCAAAAGAACTGAGAATCAAGTAGAGGCAGAGGTACAGTGAGCCTGACCCACCCACTCACCTCCACTACTCAGATCAAACCAAATGAAGAACGTGGTTGTACCACCAATTTTGGAGCTTTCTGTCAGCTCCATTTACCCTATTTAGCTTGGTGAGAATTGACTCCATGCAACACAATAAATGGATCTGCAGCCAGTCACAAATTTGACCTACTCACAAAAAGTTTGTGAAAACTTAGATACAGCTGAAGAATTGAAAACATATATTCTAACAATGAGGTATGTACTGAAACAGCTGAACAGTCCATTTGATTTCTGGCTAGTATTGTGGATTTAAAAATGGAAGCGCTACCACATAAAAATATTCAGCAGAAGTTGTTTGTAACTCTATCCAGGAGATAATACATGTACAGAAATGGAGCTCATTATCTCCCTTTTCAAGCTTAGGATTTACCTACATTAGAATTGTAGGAATGCATGGTAAGCTTGAAGTCATACACCAGCATCACAGACCTAGCTGTCATGACCCATGGAAAGTCTGGTTTTGGCAGAACACCAAACCAAAAAACCTGGGGTTTGCAAACAGGTTGCAAAAAGGTAACAGAACTCCACCAAAGCAGAGTAAACAAATACAATACCATTTGCTACATGATCACCTGTCAAAAATTTCTGACCCACCAAGACAGGACATGCTGTCTTTCTAAAGTGTTGAATATAAAATCAGCTTTTCACTAAGAATTTTGAAGTTAGTATGGTAATCAAAACTCCAAGTACAGACCAAAAACCATGTAGCAGTGACAGGAGTGTGGAGAAGAGATTTTCCTGTCACAAAGAATTATTTGGACTTTAAAACTACATCAGTAAGTAAGCCAGTGCTCAGATTATATAACAAATACACAGTAACTTGCAAAGGAAGGATTATGGGAAAGTTACTGAATTGCACAAGAAACAGAGCTGCATCTGTTCGTCTTCCTCTCAGGAAACAAATGTATTTAATATTTTTAATTGAAATTTTGCAGACAATATTGCAAACTACCAAGATTTTAACTAGGGAGCAAGCTCAAAAACTTAAAAGCTGAAACACTGAGTGAACTCACTGGTAAACTACTTCAAGCTTTACTCTTTACCCTTAAATCCTCTTAGAATGAAGCTGATCTCTGAAAAACCCTAACCCCCACCTCTCCTAACCCTCAGAATTAATTTCAGCCATTTAGAAGTAAGTAAGGAAAGAAAAACAAATTAATGCAGAGAATTTGGTACTGCTTCTGCCCAGCACCAAGAGGAATGGCATTGGGATTTTCAGGGTCTTTCAGCTGACAATGCAGTTATAAGCACCCAGCAATTCAAGCTAGCTCCAATTTAAGAGAC